CAGAATTGACTCAATGGCAACGGGTTTTTTGGTTTTAATCGGAAACCTGTGCTTCAAGGATAGTTAGCTTTTGAATGGCCGTACATAGGAGTCTGCAGTCCAGAGAGGGCGCATATTTACACCAGAGGGTACATAGGTTAGGATAATGATAAATGATACTCCTTGGTGAAATGGGTGGTGTTGGAAATAAACGACGGACTAGAAAGACTGTGCAGGTACCATTGCCCTTGTGCAGAGGGGAAGTAAGAACCCAGAAGGCTCAGCAGCTTGGCACAAAGTCCAGAGCTCTGCTTGGTGTTTGGTTCACGTCCCCTCACTTCACAAAGGAGTCTGTCACTTGACCTGACTAAAAGAGCTGCTCCTGAGTATCATTGTGCTCTATTTGGAGTGAATGATTATGCCAGATAATGTCAGATGAGAATGGGGCCTTCACTGGGTGTACCAGAAGAAGTCGTTTCCCTCTTGAGTCTACTTGTTAATAAATATTTGTAGATTTACTAGAATTTGGGCTTATACCTGTTTTCATGGTCACATTCCCCTGGTAACAATTTTGAGAGAGGAGGACATATGACCACTAACCAAAAAAACAGAACAAAAGAAAACAAAACACGTTGCCGTTGAATTGGTTCCAACTCAGAGTGACCCTATAGGACAGAGTAGAACTGCCCCATAGGGTTTCCAAGGAGCGGCCAGTGGATTGGAATAGCCAACCTTTTGGTTAGCAGCCAAGTTCTTCTTTTTATTTATTTATTTTTACTGTTATAATTAAATGAAGTTTACATTTTAAGGTATTCTCCCATACAAAGAAATTTTTTTTTTGCATACATTGTTATGAGACCCTAATTGCTCACCCCGTTCTGCGACAGCACACTCCTCCTTTCTGCCCCTGATTCCCCATGACCATTCAGCCCACTCCTAACTCTCTCTGCCTCCCCATCTCACCTCTGGACAGAGGCTGCCCCTTTGGTCTCTTGTATCTACTTGACTGTGAGTCACACTCTTCACGAGTATCATTTTATGTCCCACAGTCCAGTCCAATCCCTGTCTGAAGAGTTGGCCTCAGAAATTGTTTTAGTTCTCGGCTGATAGAGTGTCGAGGGGCCATGCTTTCCGGGGCGCCTCCATTCTCAGTCAGACCATTAAGTCTGGTCTTCTTACTAGAATTTGAGTTCTGTACCCCATCCTTCTACTGCTCCATCAGGGACCCTCTGTTGTGTTCTCTGTTAGGACGTTCATTGGTGGTATCCGGGCACCATCTAATTCTTCAGGTCTCAGGCTGATGAAGTCTCTGGTTTATGTGGCCCGTTCTGTCTCTTGGGCTGATACTT